ACATAATTCTCTTTTTCCTGTATCAAAGAATCCTGTCACGTTGTTAGCGTAATTCGTGAAGTATTCATGAAAATTCCGACGAATCTCCAGGAACTAATCTCTCTCTCTCTCTTTGTGTATATTGCGTAAGCAAGTGGCGAGATTTACACGCGAAACGCGTAGTTTCGTAAAATCGATACGAACCGGAGTTGTCGGATGGAATTATTGCGTAAAATCGTTAAGATCGGATCAACGTCGAATCTTGACGCGCACATGTTTCTGACAGGACGTTGTAAAAACGTAGGTGGTGGTGAAGCATGGAAATCGCGACTCGTTATGTAAAGCGTCGCCGAGGGAACTTTGGGTCCCGGGAAATTTGGCTCGAGACGAGCGAGCCTGCTCTGGCCAAGATCGACGAACCTCTCTCCTCTACTCGAGGTATACGTTGGTAACGGTTAGAGAACGACGGCTCTCGCGATGATGAAAACGAGTCGAAACGGTCTACTTGCACTTTAGAGGGAGAAAATCTGGATTCTACTCGCGGTGAGTTCATTGTCGTCGAGGATATGGGTCGCAGACGGAATGCGAGTTGGAGACAGACGCTGGTGATTTCGCGTACAGCCGGCGAGTAGATGAGGGAAATGAGCCGTGGGAGGAGAGATACTATCGTTTCATACTGAGACCACCATTTTCATCGATTAACATTCCTTCTGCTGTGTGTTATTTCGTGGGATCAAAGTGGAACCGCCGGGACGAGAATTAGGGACACAGTGGCGGGTGTATGATCGAATCGATTTGGTAACAAGTTTGGGTAGTTTCAGAAGTATCGACTTCTTGGGTAGCGGAAGTTTAGTTGGAATGTTTAAGGAAGCTGTACGAATTCTTTTAAGGACTTTTAGTTACTGAAAGTAGATCGAAAGTTTCCAATCACTGTGCAATGCAAGTTAGAGAAATTTTTAGATAAAAGTTAGTAACTTTAAGAATTTTGTATCGTTCGAATCTATCGAAATGAGGTAAATTACTGTGGATCCCTACAACGGCAATTTCAATATTGGTAGATGATTCTAAACTTAATGGATCACGCTTACGGTTTAAAGGTACCGAAAATGAAGATTATGTTATCACAGGAAATTAAGGAAGATAGCACATCTACCGAATAAGGATTAAATCTCTTAAAAATGGGGTAAGTGTTGCTCCCAGGCGGAAAATAAAATGGCGGAGCCTTTCGTTCCCCTTCCCAAAAAACGTTCCTGAATAGTGAAATCTTGATTATCGAAAAATATTATTTTAAACACGCGTCAGGCACAAACGGTCCACGTTTATTGTTTAAAGGTACCAAAAGCTAAGATTACGTTACCGCAGTAAATCATGAAAAGTGGCACGTTTGCGGAACGAGTATTGGGTGAAAAGGTGTTTCTAAAAGGCGGAAAAGAAAATGGCGGTACGGCAAGAAAAATTCTGGTCCCTTGGAGAATTTACAGTTTCGAGACCGTTGGAAAGAGGGAAAAGACGGAGGGCGTATAAACACTTAGCATCGCGCGGAACGCCAATGAGCCGAACGGCCGAGAGAAGAAGGTGACTCGTTCCCTTTTACCCGCCCACCGTAGGTTCGTGCATGATGTACGATTTCCTGTCTTACGGGTCGTACAATAATAACGAAATGTCAGGAGTGTACGTACGATTTACTCCGCGTTACCATACAAAGCCACGACACTTTAAACAATGATCTATGAAAGCTGCCCGCTCGTCCCTCTCTCTCTCTCTCTCTATCTCCTTTCGTCTGGAAGGGAAAAAAATCCACGTATCCCATTGGCTACCTGTAGAGTCGCTGGGAAATTGTGAATGGCATGATGGAATCGGAAATTTATTCGGAATGCGGATAACTTGTCTATCCACGCTTCTCTCTATTCTTCTCCCTTTTCTTTCGAAATTCTCCCAGAGAGGATTCTCTCGGGGAATGTTCCTAAGGGGTGGCAAATTCCGTATCCGAAAGGGTTTCTTCGTTAACAAAGAGTAAACGACAGTGACAATTTAACCATCCGAAAATGTTAAGATTGTCTGGTTTTGACAAGAGAAGAGGCTTTTCGAATGTCTAACTCTCTCTCTCTCTCTCTCTCTTTCAATACACGCTGGTTGTGTAATTAAAGGGTTAAGAGAGGGTGGAAACACGGAGGAAAGGGAAACATCTCGAATGGAACCACCTGTTAGCAGCGCAGAGTTTCCAAGTGAACTTTCTCCAACCTCCCACAAGTTGAAATCCCGTGGATGCAACACCGCCATCGGGGTGGCAAGCTTGTGGAATAATTTAAGGGACACCTAACCAGTTTAAGGCCCAGATTAATCTCATATAAAGATACACGAAGGATGGTTTAGGCGTGGTCCTACGCTCTTCTAATCGTTTCTTCTCGGAGGGGGATCGTTCGGGCTTCTAATCTTTCTTTTCGTACGAATTCAGGCCAACGGCGTCGACCCTACTGTATACCGAAGCCACTGAGAATATATGAACTATGCTGGAATGTGTCACAAAGTGAATACAAAAAATACCACTATTATTTTTATAAAATTATCTGAGAAATTTAAGTCGCGAAGAAATTAACCTCTTCCGAGACACTGACGCATAAGTGTACATTTAGCTTTTTTTAAAAATTCCAATATCTGTGATAGAGACAATACGAAAAACAACCTCGCAAGAAAATAGAAAATTAGATCATTTTTTTAAAACTTTGAAAATATTCTCCTTGAAGTGGTTAAGGTTGATTAGAGAAGTTTCAAGAGTTTAGTGAAAAATGTTTATGAAATGAACGAATGTTTAAGTTAAAGTGGTAGTTTTTCACCCTTTCAACGCTGGCCAGTATTTCCCACATTGTTCCCAGAGGCAGAGCCAGGCTTTTTACGCCAATGACGATCGAGCCTCTTTCATTAATCGTCACGGTCGGGATCCTTAATGACATTACAGCGCGTCGGAAGATCGAAGACCACGTTGCCTGACCTCTTTTCTCCTATCATTCGCATCGACCCCTAATGCGTGCACGCGTACTTCGCCCCGAAGCTTGACTGACCTATACGACCACTTTATCGAAGAGAATCTACCATCTGGTCGCCGCATACTCGATCTACGATACCTATACATTCTACTTTTAGAACGGCGGTTCTTTCTTCGACCAAACATTTTTCTACTCTCCGACGCGATATTAACCTAACCTGATCTATTTCAGATGAGAAGTTAAACGTGGTTATTTGCTACGGTACGCAGGCACAATTATCGTACGAAATGTGAAATTAGAATACGCATATATTCGCACTTTGCAAACAATAGAGAGGTTAATCGTGTAGTTAATCACTGACTTACATTATCGTTACTGCTATCTCTACGTTCACCATTCCTTCGAGTCCACGAGAAAATAAGAATCGATGTAGTATCGATGAGTTTTATCGAATAGAAGCTTCCTGATCGACGATCAACCGACCAGGCCGGCGAACGAGCTAGGCGACGTCTCCGATCCGACGGCAAGATCGCGGCGATCTCTAACCTGCATTCGTTCCACTGCACCGATAACGCGTCATTCTTTCACGATCACGTTCATTGAATCAAAAGCAGCCGTCACCAGCTGGGATATCGTGGAAAGGGAGGTATTCTGCGTTGACAAGCGAAGCGAAACAGCATGCAAGCCGCCATTAACACATTGCCAACTGAACTAAAACTACACCGGGATGTGCAAAATTTCCAAGAAGATTCGTTGAAAATTTTAAATTCGAACAATCGAAGCGTTTCTTAAAATAACGTACATGGAAAAGGAAATACGTATTGTTATTCAGTCGGCAACGCGTTAAAATAAAGAGAAAAATATTCGTGCTAGGATCTTCGTATTTTACGCTGTTGGCAGTATTGTCCACCGCGTGCAAGGTTCAAGAGGTGTCAATCGTCCGTTTCGACACCTAACCTACTAGCTCGCGATAAGACAATCGAGATTGAAAACTCATTTCGCTGTTTCGAAGAAGAAAAAGATGCTTGGTAGGTGTTCAAGAGAGTTCACAGTGTTGCAATACATCAGAGTCAAAGTTAATCGCGACATGATCTGCCGTGGGTCCGCGAATCGACGTTTCGCGGCCAAGCTTCGCTGACACCGGCGCGATATACCCGGAGGCCCCTGGGGGCCGCATTCGAGTGGTGACAAGAAACTTAATAGCCGGTCTTGAAATACAGGTTTCAACGTGCTGGTCGTAAAGATCGATTATCACCGAGTGTTTAGATCGGCGCCAATACCGGTAGCAGAGCGCGGGCTGCTGTGCACCCAGAGGAGAAAAAAATCTCTCTCTCTCTCTCCGCTACACCGGTGTATACATCCTCGCGACATATAGTTCGCGCCATAAAGAAATTTTCTCTTTCTCTCACCGTGAAACGATAAGCTAGCCAAGAGTGGTATCGCGAGTCGAGAGACAGCGACGACAAATCACCTGGTACCCGGGCCTGGTATCGACGGACACCTCTTGGAACCGTCCACGCGTGCCAACCACGCGATATTCTTTGCAGATGGAAAAGCATCGAAGAGACGGGGCGAATATGTCGCGTATAAGTCGGTGGGAGAAATACAGAGAGATCGTAAATTAACGCTTTCGGTCGGTGGCAGTGATCGATTCGATCACAACGATACGTAGTGTTTTAAGTGTTTCAGCATATGGAACGAGACGAAGTTAACCCACGGACAACCGTGTTCTTTGTATTCTGACCGATGTTTGAGAAACAGGTAAGGTTAGGTTAAGTGCGATACCAATTTCTTCACTCTTATCAGAATTTCTGCAACTACTATCCCGCAGCATTTTATACAAGTCTCTTACAACTCTTACAAGTATGTTACGGTTGTCGATAAGTTAAGACACATCTCTCGATGTAAATCAGCCCGAAAAACACCTATCCCTCGTCTTATTATTCAAATACAAGAAACACGTTCACCGTGACACCTAAAGCAAACTGTACGATCTCGCGATACTTAATCCACCAATCATACGCACGTTAACGTTACCTGAGGGTGGTGGCGGCGGATGATGATGGTGATGATGATGATGGTATCCGAGCGCGGGCGGCGGCGGCGGATAAACCGCTCCCCATATGCAGGACGCAGCCGCTGCCGCGGCCACCTGTTGCTGATGATGGTGATGTTGGTGCTGTTGCTGGTGTTGTTGCTGTTGTTGTTGCTGCTGCTGCTGTTGCTGCTGCTGTTGCAGTAGCTGTTGCACCTGAGCGATGTCTACGAATTCTTGTAGCTCGCCGTCGGGCTCCGGGCCGGTTTCACGCAGCCTTCCCTCCGACGACGACGACGAAGGTACCACCGCGAACGGGTTCCCGGCGCCGGTGTTGTGCTGCAAGTGCTCGAAACCCGCGAGCGGATTCGCGGGCTCGTAATTGCTGCGCCCGGTCGTGTGTTCGCGGCGCATCGCCAGTGCCAGCATCTTTTCAACCTGTCGCGCCGCCGGCCCTCGTCGCGGTGCCAGTCGTCCACGTGCGTCTCACGTACCTCCTTTCCTCTTCCTCCTCCGCGTCCTCAACGAGGTGGCGAACCGTCCTCGACAACCACGGCCAATTTTTCTTTATCCGCGTCCTCAACGACGACGGCGACGACCACCACAACGACGACAACGACGACGAGCACGATAACAACGAACAGCCGGCCAGGCTATCGCACATGTCACGTCACCGAGACGCACGCGTCACCGTCGCTTCCTGCTGGTGGAATCGGACGGACGATTTCAACGGAGAAAGAAAATAGTTGCGGATAGAACGTGAAGGGAGGAGGAGCACTGTCGCGAAAAACGACACCCGCGGAAACGTGAGACAGACCTTCGCGTGATGGTTGCGCTTCCACTGGAGGATTTTCACCGGTGATGTTTCTCCGACCAAATCCTTTCCGGAAGATTTCCTCTCTTTTGTTCTTTTACCGAGCTTCGAGACCGTGGACAGGTAGAAAGCGTTCCGTACCGGTGGATCAAATTTCTTCCAAAAGAAATGACGATGACGACGATGACGACGATGACGACGAAAGTGCCAAAGAGAAATCTTTGCCGAAAAGTTATCCAAAGGCGTCGTAGACTCTTGCTGCAAGATCCTTGGATGTCCCTCTTCGAAGTTCGGCAAACGTTAATCCTCGACGGTAGAATACGTAGAAGAATGTCGGAGGAGTGTTGAAAATCACGCGGTTTGAATGAAGTTTCGGTGGTAGTTCGCGCCGACAAACCGGCGTACCGGCGCGCGTGCAGCCCGGTATCGTATCACTGGAGGATCCTGCTCTTTCTCGCTCTGTTCGTCGTGCTGCTCCTCCTTCTCCTCTTCTTCTTCCACGCACCGAGTCGATTCTCCCTTCCTCTTCGTACAAACCGACCAGCCGCCGGTACCCTGTGCGTGTCTCTCCGTTCCTCTCTCGAGCGTTTTCCGCCTCGCGCGATATCTCCAATCGACGACGAGAGCTTCTTCCCCCGAGACGGTTCTCTTCTCCTTTTCCCTCGGTTTGCCGGGAAACACGTCTGGATACGAATTCACCGAGGATACTGGAGCCGCGAGAACAGCCAAAGGGGTTCGCGATGGTCCGCGGTAGACTAATAAAGAGCGGCTCGCGCGGGAAGTGGTCGGTCG